AAATCATCATTTTAATAATCTTTTAGTAGCATTAAATATGTTTTTACTGTTGTGCAATTGTCACCATTTTCCAAACTTTTTCATCTTTCTAAACTGAAACTCTGTTTCCATTAATTCCCAACTTTCCTTTCCCCAAGCTCCTGGCAACCAGCATTATGTTTCTGTCTTCATGAATTTTCTATTCTGTGTACCTTGTATTAATGGAATCACACAATCTTTGTCCTTTTGCGACTGGCTTACTTCATTTAGCGTAACGTCTTCCAGGTTCCTGCGTGTTGGTGGTAGCACATGTCCAGATTTCTTTTGAAGGCTGAGTACTATTCCCTTATTTGCAAAAAAGTATGTCATGACCTTCCAGACAGCCTAACGTATGTGGGTTGTTTCCGTTTGGCTGTTGCGAATAATGCTGCTATTAATATAAACATTGATGGGCAAATATCTGTTCAAATCTGTGCTTTCAGTTCTTTTGGGACTTGAAATATATCTAGAAATGGAATTGCTGGATCATATGGTAATTCTATGTTTAGCTTTTCGAGGAAGTATCCTACTGTTTTCCATAGCGGCTGCACCATTTTACATTCCCACCAGCAATCTATGAGGATGTCAACTTCTCTACACTTTTGCCAACACTTACTTTCTATTTTTTAAAAATAACAGCCATCCCAATGGCTGTCTTCTTTTTTTTTTTTTAAGAATTATTTAATTTAATTTAATTTATTTATTTAAATTTGACCGGAGAGAGAAGGAGTGAGAGAGAGAGATGAGAGAGAGTGAGTGAGTGAGAGAAAGCAAGAAAGCAAGCTGTCAGATCTGGGACTTGAACTATAGTGAGCCACGTGGATCCAGCCCAGTGCCTTTAATCGCCACACCGGCCCTAGGTCTCTTCTTTTTAAAAAATATGCATTTATGCTACTGGTTTCTGTCTTAGCACTGCTTTCATTGTAGCTTAGAAGTTTTGGTGTGTTGGAGACGAGGCATTTGAAGTTAATCAGGCTGCTGACCATTAGGGAGTCGTAACAGCTGATTCCGGTAGTCTGGGTTGTGGCACAAAAGATAATAGCCCTGGGCCAGCAGGTGGCATGGTGGTTAAGGCGCTGGACTCCCACATGGCCGTTGTTGGACTCCCAGACCTGGCTGCTTGCTTTCTCACTTTCTCTCTCCATCTCTCTCTGGTAAGCACATGCACCCTATAGCAAATTAATAATAATAGTAATAATAATAATAAATAATTTTTTAAAAACTTTGTTAAAAAAAGAAAAAGACAATAGTCATGAAACACAACTTTGAGCAATGCATAGACAATAAAGCTCTGTGCTGCAATTGTTAACTAAGGTAAATGATTTAAAACCTATAGAAACAATTTTATTCCTTTACTCTGTCATAACTTTTCTCTTTACTCCATAATCCCTTTGTTTCCTTTCCC